ATGTATATCACACAGACTTCAAAAGAAATAAAATACGTTTATAACTGAGAGCACAAAGGAGAGCTTTGAAATGTCTATAGCCATACAAAGTGACATAATTAAAAACCTCTGAGTGTCTCTGTGATATAAGACTTATATATATTTATTTATACATATTTATGAGGCAGACTGCTATATACCCTTGGACTTCATGAGAAAGAATTTTCAGCAATTATACTGAAAAATAATTACTGCAAATTCAGACTATAGTGTTGATCAGGGCTACAGAGAAACAGGTTTTATTTTCCTCAAAATGACCTTCACTTGGTTTGATATAGTGCATCAAGAAACACCTGAAAGCTTATCTGTGAAGACAAATTTTATAAAATAGAAGGAAAAAATAACATTTTAAAATTTTTCATAAACCATGCTTAAAAAACAAATGAATTCACTTGTAAAAAAGGAGAACATAAACTTTCTCAAGGATTCATTCATGCACAACTCTCTCCAAGACTATTCCAGAAATGGATAGTGTTAAATTACTAGATCCAAACAGTTGTGCCTCACTGTCCTCTTCCAGTCACTAATACACACCAAAAAAATGCTCCTAGAAAGCACCTCTTTGAGTCTCCTCTGTTTCCTTATACGAGGGACAAATATCCTTTCCAAAATTGTTTATAGTATATCTTAGAAGGAGACTATCAAGTGGGTGAAGTTTCTTCACTTTGCTAAATTCAACATTTCCTAGGAAACAGGAATGCTGCTTCCCACCTACCCAAATATTTTGAGTCCATTAAATGTGCACATGTCACACAAAACAGGAGATTTAGGCTCTTATTGATAAAGTAGCAAATATAAAAGGAGAAGGAATAAGCACAGGATTCCACATAATGGAAACAACCTTCTGTATTGGATAAAGCTATGGACACCAATCACTCACCTCCCCAAAATAGAGTATACTGTACAAAGACAGCATGTGACATTCAAGTCACAATGCCTATAAATACAGATAGTTCCAGTTGTAAGCACCACCAATGGAAGCCAGAGGACTAACCTGCAACACAGTAGCTGGTGACCCAGGAGTCACTCTTCTCTAAGGCTGCTAGACCAATTCTGACCCTTTCACGATAACATCATTGCTTAAGTTACTTAAAGACTGACCTTTCTTATTTGATCTTCAAAGACTCTGTGTGCTGAGAAAGACCATTGCGGGCTATTTCAGTAGGACAACTGCCTGATGCATGCAAGACTATGCTATTCCAGAGATTTATATTTGGAACAGAAACAGAAAACTTAAAACAGACTCTGTATAGTGATAAATGATGCTACTCTGCCTAGCTGTGGCTGCTGAAGAAAAACCAGATAACTAAGCAACAGAAATACATGCAGTGAGGGAGGGTGAGGACAGAACTCTGTGCACCCAAGTATCTGAAAATACAGAAAAGAGTCCTGCATCACTTTGTTTATTCAAATACATAATAACAACAATTAGAACAAAAAGTATTTCCTGATCCTAGTTTTTATAAAAAAAAGACCCAATACTGCAAAAGCTGGACGTAAGCCTAACAAATTGTTTGTATACCTTAAATAAATCTATTTGCATGTGCACCCTGGCAAATAGCACATAATCAAATTATTTGTATAGGCAGTTCTGGTTGGTTTTTTTTTCCAGGTGAGCAGGGCATTTAACTCAGCTCAACTGCTTCACAGATCTTTGAAAATTTGACCTATGAGTTTCATTTATAAACATATCAAATGAACAAGCAGACTTATTTAACCACTGGAATTTGGCTACAAAGCATTCTGCCAAATGCTCCTCAGAGTTTCATGAAACCTCCCTGAAGTCAATGGCTTGTTTGGCTGGAATTCAAGGAAGAATCTGGACCATTATCAATAACTGAAATCCTAATAAAGAAACTCAGAAAAAGCAGTTTTACAAGTGAAGCACACTATGCAAAAGTAATTGTGAACAGGAACAATCCCACACTGAGAAAAAACGAATTATTCACTGTTTGTTACTTTTGTATTGGCTTCTATTGTTTGAATTAATAGATATAGTTTATAATTATGTCTTGATTAACACTATTGTGTTCTAAATATAGAAGGTAAAGCAAGAAAATACCATTTTTATTTGTTTCTCTCAACCAATTATCTTTTCTTCTCGTCTGTGTGCTTCCCAAACATGAATAGAAACAGTTTGTGTCAGTGGTACTTTTTTTTTTCTGCTTTCATCCTTTTTTCTGGCACTGATTCTTAGTGAGCTGCCTTCCCACAACCAAGATGCCAGTCTTTCACTGAAGGGGGAGAGCTGTAGTTGTGCAGACACAGAGGAAGAATATGTGCTCAGGTTATCCTTAGTGAGAACAACGCCTTCTCTCTAAAATAAACAACTCCCGGTAACAGTCAGTGCAAAGAGCAGTTCCTCACAGGACCACACCTTGCTTTCTTATAATCAAGATTTTTTTTCCTCTAATGAATTCATCCATTTATTTTTACTACATCGCTTCATGTCTTTAAGTTAGGTTCTCAGTAATACGAGCAGAAAGTCTGCAGAAAAGCCAAAAATATCAGCCAATTAAATAAAATTATTTAGAATCTAACAGAAATTAAGGAAAAATATATCTGCCCTCCCAGAGACAACAGATTTTCAAATGTAGTTTTTTCAGACCTCATCATGCCCTGCCAGTTACACAGCTGAAAATTCAATCAGCACTATGGAAATGAACTTCATGATTTTGAAATCTACCACCTTGGACAATGAAAGAATTTATTTTAAAGTATGCTTCTTTGGTGAATTAAAAATTCTCTCTGGTTCCCCTACTTCATTTTTTTCCCTTCATGTAATCTTGTTTTCATGCTGCCATGATTGTTGATTTTTTTGGGTTTCCTTCTTTCTGAGATGATTTTTAAGGTACACAAATGCTGATATGAGCTAATACTCAACTATTAGGTAAATAACAATTCTATCAGCTGGAGGTAACCAACCTGAGGACAGCAGTTAGGCCATGAATTTGGGAAACCAAAGGGAATGAGTTCAACTTCAGACCTGCCACTACTCCTGCTATGTAACTGTGCATCCAGTTTTCTTCTTGCACAAAATGACACCAATGTCTTTGTCAAGAGTTTCGAAGTGTAAAGCACAACACAAGAGCAACCATCCTTTATCTTCCACGTTGGTGCTATTTTGCAAAAAGTTTACATGCAGTTGCAGCAGCAAAGATTCATTATTGCATCTTGCTGGAAGCCATCTAATAGCATAGATGAATATTGCAGACATTGTGACAACTTAAGGACAGGTTACACAGGAAAAGAGCTGTGGAAACTAACTGAATGACTGTCAACCCATAAATCTGGTGAGTCTAATCTGATGATCCTTTTTATACAGCTAATAAGTTATTCCCTACCCAGAAAGGGTAGTTGAATGAGTTGAAAATTCTTCCAAATCTGAGTGAGAATGCTTTGTAGGTAGACGAGAAAAGGGTTAGAAGCAAGAACTCTACCCATTCACTCAGCAGAGATTACATATGCTAAGAAAAGAGGGGGAACAACATAAATCCAGAAAAAACAAAGGGTTTTTTTCAATAAATGAAAGCTCATTAAAAAGCTTTTTGTGCCATATAAAAGAATAAAGAACATTATTCTGCATTGTTAGAGATCCCACCTCTTTTAAATTTGATTCGCTAATAGCATTCAAGTAGTTTCTATTTAAAGACTAAGTAGCTATATTTTGCAATTAATGGACAATAACAATTGAACAAGCATTCAACATTTTTCACACTATTAAGAGACAATATGGCTTTAAATAGAATGTGATTTCAAGACATAATTTTGGGGGATTTTATCACAGCCAATTTTAACATGTTCCTGTAAAATTGTATACTATCTTTCTGCCACTGATATTACTATAGGATTTCTTACTTGCTTAACATACATACATTATCCTAATTCTGCCAGAAAAATCAGGAGAATCCAAGAGATTTTTGATCCTGAAGGAACTAGTTACAACTTACTTATTAAAAAGGGCCAATCTTTTGTCTATTTGTATATTAAAAAAAAAATTTAAGAAAATTGTGCTATCTTAAATTTCCCTGGTGGAAACTTGAAACCCTAAGAATCAATTTTCATCAAATAGAATCTTTTTTTAACAGTAAAGATTTATTAATATTATGAGCATAATTCTTTGTCTCCACACCTTAGTTGCAATTTAATAAAATTATACAACTGAAGAGAAATTAATCTTAGGTACTTTGTGTATTCCTCAAACATGCCTTATGTTCCCTTCTCACAGCACAAAAACCCCACCTTTTAGATTTGTTGTTTAATCAATAACACCGAATTTCTTCTCACTAAGGAAATCCATGGAAAAATTGACGGGTAGGGAAAAACACTTCAAGTTTTCTACCTAATACTTAATTGTCAAGAGAATTCCACTTTTCCTAGCTTGGTAGGTTCAACAAATCATGAAAATATTGGAACTTATTGTCCATATATACAATAAAACTTGCACTGGTTTCAGTAGGTCCCAAATTTCATCCAGAGCTGCTCTTTCTCTGCAGAAATGGAATTAATATAAACAAATGCTTTTTTTTTTTGCCAGTTTTGAATGAAATATTTAGAACAGTAATCACACAACTACCCCCTTTTATAATCTGAAAGCAGTTTCTACATATAATTTATGCAACTGGGAAAAAGCAGTACCAAGTACTCATAACTCCATGTTTCTTCCTCTTCCTCTGCTCAGAGATATATAGCTCATGTCAATGAACTAATGTAACTAACCTGGTGTTTGTGATAACATCCTTGATACTGCCTATAACTGATTATGACATACTCTATTTTTTTTGGCAGACTCATCCATCATTTTGAAGATAAACATTAAAAACCAGAGTGAGTTGACTAATAAGAGGAAGGCACCCTCTAGTTATGATAGCTATTTCTATTATTTTTTCTGAACTTTCAAAAATCTTCAATCCCCTTTTTAAAATATATGCAAACATTTAAAATTTGATCTAATCAGATACCTTTAATTTCACCAAGGAGATCACTTGTGTTTAATTTTTCCATCTTCTCCTTCCAGTCTTTAGAAAGTAGCTTTTCCATACAGGATGAATCTATTCAAAAAAAAAAAAAAAAAAAAGAAAGAAACAGAATTATCAAATATATCCTCACATATCAGGAAAACAGGTGCCACCTTCATTTTAAAACTGTTCTTCCTGTACCAGTTGAATGATAGTTTAGAAGGGAAATGAACTTGCAGCCAAACAGAGTTCTTATTTAACTGCATTTTAAATCCGAAGTAATTCCCCTGAGGTTAATGGAGTTACTATGGATTTAACAAGGGTCTAATTGAAAGAAAAACCTAGTTGAGGATTTATGCATGCTAACTGCCAATTTACATGCATAGATTGCCAATGTATATCTGAATTCTGTCTTTTTCATTTGAGAATGATTGTACACTTGAAATTATACATGAAGATTTAGTAGCTTTTTTTGGAAATTTGGCACACAGTGACATCTGAAACCCATTTTTATACCCATGTCAATGCAAAAGTTATTCATGTAATGTCTCCATGGAATTCATAAAAGCACTCTACATATTCGATGTTCACAGTATCAGGAATTTTCTCAGTACACTATAAACAACATGCAATGATTAGAAGAGAGGCTTTCGTAATATGAAGTTCAGAATACATTTCAAGTTGTTACCCCAATCTGGGAGGCCTTCTGTAGGCAAAACTGTCACTGAAGTCATTACACTTTGGAGAAAGTAGAAGAGGCCTTAGTAAGTTTTCTATGATCAGACCCCAATTCCACCACAAAATTTGATACTGAGGATAACAGACTTCAATAAATTCTAAAGTTTTTTCAGTTCCTAAATTAAACTAACTGTCTCTGAAGCCTAAATCATACATAACCTTGCAGACAGCTTACAGAAGGTGACTTTTAATATGGGAATTTTTATGAACGGAGCGTACAAGCCTACAAATTCTCCTGAAGGGAGCCTACAAGAAAGATGGAGAGAGACTATTTACAAGAGCATATAGTGACAGGACAAGAGGTAATGGCTTCAAGCAGAGAGTAGGTTTAGATTAGAATTAGGAAAAAATTCTTTACTGTGAGGGTGGTGAGGCACTGGAACAGGTTGCCCAGAGAAGTTGTGGGTGCCCCATCCCTAGGAGTGTTCAAGGCCAGGTTGGATGAAATGCAAAGCAATCTGGTCTAGTGGAAGGTGTCTCTGCCCATGGCAGGGGGATTGGAACGTTAAGGTCCCTTCCAAACCAGGCCATTCTATGATTCTGTGGTTGATGTTGTGTTACAGATTTTTATGACTTTGGGAACCACAATTCAGATTTATAAACAATTACCAAGCAAACTCTGCAAACAATTGAACACTTATTTTTCCTTCCCAGTTAGCAATAACAGAATTTCTGTTGAACTTTGTTCATTTACTTTCATCTGTAGAAAGACTCATCAACAATGTTTATGTTAAACTCCTTGGAAACCCTTAGGCTCAGTTTTGCAAGATATCAAAAACATTATCTGAATGTTCCCAAAGCAAATCTTTGCAGAAAGCCTTCATTATAAGACTACACATCACTCTGGGTGGTGTTGAGCACATCACTCCTTAAGGCATACACTGGGAATAGCCACACACCTTCACTTGCTAGAAACTCTCACAGCAAGGTGCCACTTGTGTTAGGAGAAGAACAATTCATACAGTGCTTTCTAAATAGCTAATAAGATTCCAAATTTTGATAATTTTAGTACTGATCCCACTCCTGTCACTTAGGAATTAACATTAGGTTGTACAAGAAGGAAGAATTCAGTCTAACTTGTCTTCTGGTAAATTACTGGCAGATTAAGGTCAAATCGTGGCTCAAATTCCCGTGTCAGCAGTCTCAGCAGAAGCACTCACACAAGTGAAAGCAAAAGCAAAAGCAAAAAAGCCCAGATTTAAGAACGGCAACACAGATCATTTCATTACAACGGGTAACAGTTTGTTCCACCTCAGAGGATTCCAAAAATACTCAGAGGGAGGAGAAGCATTCAAACAGGTCACAAAAGGAGGAGTTAAAGCTTTAGGGAGAAGTTTAAAGAAAAAAAGGTCATATGGCCAATCATATTTTAGGGTGCAAGTCATTTCAGTCTAAAAATTCACATTAACATCGCTCATTTGAAATAAACAAACAAACAAAAAACCCAAACAAAACAAAAACCAGCTGAAAACAAACCAAACTGTAACTACCGAAAGATCAAAGATCAGGTTTTAATTGCAACACATTTTCACTGTGCAAGCCTCCATGGAAAGACAACGCAGCTCATAAATATTTTTGAAGTAATATTTCAGCAGAAAAGCTAATTTATTTACTAATTATATCTTTCTGTGAAAGAGACAAAATTAAGGAGCTGTAAGTTGCAATAGGCAGTGTTAAAATACTTGTTATATAATAACAATTTACTTTTAACAATAACAGGCACTTATTACTTTTATGAGTTCTGGCCTGATAATAGGAGAATCAAGAAATAACCATCAATTACCAATAGAACATTATAATTTGTCCTTTTTTGTGATATCATGATTAGTTTAAAAAGACGTTTCTATGTTTCTCCCCTGCCAAAATTTCAGACCCCTCATCCCTGAAAAAAAAGATCTTTAGAGTTTTATTTTGATGTTTGCTATAAATTATGTATTCTACTGCTTTTACCTAAGATATTGTCCTCAATTCACATAAAGAAAAAACATTTCATTTAAAAAAAGAAAAAAAAAAGAGGTAACTAGCATATTACAGTAGTTGAGAAAATACTTTCCTCAAAAGCACTTGTTTTGTTTCTTCTCTTATCGTTCTTAAGAACACGCATGTAGTATTCTTATATTATGTAAGGAAAAAAAATACATTTCTGCAGACAGACTGAGAAAGAACTAGAATGAAAAACAGGTCTATTTGTGTGCCTTCTTTTTGATATAATCACATTTCAAGTTTGAATTTTTATCTCTATAAATGACTGAAAAATTCCTTAAGAATGAGTTCTTTTAACACCCTTATCTTATTCAAATTCTATGTTCTAGATCTGACCACACAATTTATAGCTACTGTATTTTGTTTTTGGGAAGATTACAAAATGATTACACAATGAGCCTTTTAATAAACTTTTTCATAACATTGTAAAAATAGCTCTCTTGAAATCCTGTAAATTTTCAATTAGCATGTTTATTCTGCATAATTTTTTAGAATTTAAAATAATGATATGTGTCAAAACTCTCTGGAGGTCTTCCACATTAAATACAAAACCAAATATAAAGGCTTATACTTGAAAGGCATGTCTCCCTTCAAGTTCTGTATTCTGTGTTCACAAACACATTTTGAAAAGGATTGTGAATCAGAAAGGGATTTTTCTTATTTCTGTACTGAAAATTAATTTTTACAGACATATAAAATCTACAAAGATATCTTCTGACATCAGTAAAATGTCTTCATCCATATTGATTCATTTTCTGATTTGATTCAATATAGAAACAAAACATCGACTTGGAATCCATCACTGAACATTGAAGAAAGAAGCCCAAATTCACATCTGCACTGCATCACTCTCCCTGCACTGAGGCTCTGCTTCAGCACTATTCCAAAACCTTGTGGATCCTGACATTTTCAAAATTCAGGGGTATTCTTGCTAAAGACAATTATAAAGAAGCAATGAAAGAAATTAGCATTTATACATTTTTAGCTCTTCTCACTGACTTTATAAACCACAGTTATGCTTATGCCACAAAATAGCATATTTTCTACTGGCACATGTAAGATCAAACTCATGAAGTTGCGCTGGAGCAATTTCTTTTATGAAAAACACGCAGCTTCTCATCCTTTATATTCTCTTGTGAACTAGAAAAAAAATTTCTTTCAAGGACAGCAAACAGGTTAAGTATAATTATGATGACTAAATTAAATCATTGAGTATTATTTAATATCATGGTTTGTTACATACTTAGTTAGCAATTTTAATTGTAAACTAAAGGAGTTTAAAGTACTGTGAGAATCTTGTTAGACATGACAGTTCTGAAAAGGTGAAGAGAAGAGGATGTTAAAAGATATATAATCAGGGGGAAAAAAAAAAGCCAAGGGAAAAAAACCTAGGTGTTAGCTGAAAAGGATCTCTTCACAATGACAAAGCATCGATGAAAAGAATTAACATTTGTCCGTTGGGTAATCAATCAGTCATGGAATGGATGGAATCCAGCTCTTTGTTGCACGACCGGTGATGAAGAACGAGCGTGTTAGCTATCACAGCCAAGCTCTCAAGTTCTTCTGACTGAATGAAAGTCATCTTGTTTGAATCAAGAGTAGCTTTTGCCTCTTGTCTCATCCTTATTCTCCCCTTTTTTTCAGGTTTTTTTTGTGTGTTTTTTTTTCTTTTAATTTCACTTTTACAGTCATCAACAAGTTACCAACCCCAGCTATATCTTACATGAATACTGTATGACCTTACAGTGGCCTGCACCTATCCTCATTGATTTTGGGGGGTTGTTCCTTTTTTTTCTTTTTAATTCACTGAAGTAGCCTCCTATTACTTTCTTTGAAATACAGACACAAAAAAAAAAAAGACGTTCATGCCATGTGTGAGTTTTTGTTTTTTATGGTAAAGTCATACATAAAAGAAAACCTAAATGTGAGAGTGCAGCAGCAAAACTTCAAAGCACTGACTGTCAGACATTATTATTTCAAATCAGCTTTGACTTTTTGAGACTTAATAAAACACTATAGTACAGACTGGCATATTTATAACATCTATACCAGTGATCAACTGAACTGTCTTATTCTTTCTACTGTGCAGTGCCTTGTTATTTCTTTTATAATAAGCTTCCCTCAAAACATGTTTAACAATACTGCAAACTGATAATTATTAATGATATGAGTTCTAAAACATGACTTGTTTTGCATACAATTCTTTTTGAATGCATACATTACTTTGTGACAGAAGACAAAAGCACATTGATTTATTAATAATGATTGCAAATGCATGGCAAGTTCATAAGCAATAGAGAAATATAATTCAGTCAAAGTTATAGAGGTATAGGTGACATATTTCTACGTGCATCTGAACTCTTACATCTCAA